GAGCCCCGCGTCGGGCTCCCTGCTCCGCGGGAAGCCTGCTTCTCCCTCTCCCACTCCCCCTGCTTGTGTTCCCTCTCTCGCTGTGTCTCTGTCAAATAAATGCATAAAATCTTAAAAAAATAAAATAAAATCACACAGAAGCGGGGGTAAAGGAGATTCAAGGAGACATGCTAAGAACGGGACAGTGTCTGCTACAACATCCTCTCTATTGTTTTCTTAATAAAAATAAGAAGTCAAAAGGTCACAGCTGATCAGAGACAGATTTTAAGTTATTCTCCTAACATTTTAGACAGAAATGTATTACTACTGTAACCTGTAGTTTAAAAGCAGCAGAGACTCAGCCCATCACATTATATTCAAGAGTAACACTACTGACACCGAGTAACACCACCATATTCTAGTCCCCTACCCACTGAGATGACTAGGACTTTAGTATTCAATATAGTGTATACATATCACATAGAAAATTTTGAAAAATTTCCCAGAAATTTTTTAAAAAGTTTTTAATGGTTTTCCAGTCCCTGGATGATGAAAAATACCTAAACTGTTCCTCATACCCTTCCCTGTGAAAATTGGATATGTCTCAGACACTTACACTTCTTACAATCTGGCAAGAACAGTAAGTTAAAGTAAGAATTGTTATTTTTCAAATGCAGTGTTTAACACTCTCCACAATTTCAGCTCCCTCATTTCCAAACGCCCTGGAAAATACCCCTGAAACATCAGGCCCATAGAGATTTAATCCTGTCTCTCCTCCAACCCTTCTTGACTCTGCTGATAAACTGTCAGGTGGCTGTCACAAGGACGAAACATGATGGACAAAAAGACACCAAAAGACACAGGCAAAGGATTCAAATCTTAGTGTAGGTGAATTTGCCCACACACAGAGCAGAAGCACAGTAGCATTCCCAGATTCCTCGGGCCCCAAGTCCATGAAGGTACCCAGCTATGGGGATACTGCCGGCCTGACACAAGCAGCCAGCAGGGTCATTCCATCTCCCCAGCTTTTTATAACCTACTATCCCCTCCTAACTGTCCTTGAGATTCTGGTTACCACCCAACCTTCTCCCCAGGCGTAGCTAACCTCAGTAAATTACTGCTTGTTCACTGCGAGGCCAGGTAAATCCGCACTATCTCTCTAGGACCCACCCATCCTCCTGAGGACTCTGCTTGCCAGGATGTGTTTTAATTTAGTTTCAACATTCACATTAAGTAAGACAAATATCCCGAGTTCTTCTCTTCAAATGGCGATCTTTGAACAACACGCACTTACCATTATCCTGATAAGAGAGTAAAGTGTCTTTACCTGCACAAGTTTGAGATTCCAGGGTGGGTGGTTAATCAAACCTTCTATTTGAACCTGGTTGGCTACGGCAGCCTGCAGCTCCACGTGGGTACTACTATCCAGTTGTAATCCTGGAAACAGGTCATTGATTAAGCTGAGGAACAGGGGTTCATCTTCGTCAACCTAAGATGGCAGAGAATAAATATGCTTCTTCAGTCAAAAACTAATTATGGGCCAGCTAAGCTCATAACACTTATCACTGGATGCCCAGAAAATCACGTACTACTTCTCCTAACCAGATTTGTATCCTCTAGAACCAACTCCTAAACACCACCCCTGAATCCACATTACCTAGAGCATTGTAGCCAGAGACCTTTGGCATTCAACGTTTTCTACAATCTACTGCTTCAAGGTTTGATCTCATTACTTTATCATATGAATGCTGTGCTTCTCACAAACCTTAAAAAGACACGATTCATAGTCCCAACCTCATGAAAATAGAATACTAATATTTCATTTAAATTAGGAAAATATCCATAACCCTACCTGCCTGGTTCATCCAACATTGACCGGAAAACTCCATCAGAGCAGTGTCCTGCCTTCCTTATAAGCCATAGGTTTGAGTAAACTGACCCTAATCCTCATTTTCTCCGTCTTTAATATCTACATCACCCCCTTCCCAAGTGCTGACCCCTTTTGATTTCTCCTTATTCCCTGGGACTCCTCTGATGCCTTCTGGAGTTCTTGTCTAGCAGTTTCAAGAATACATTATGGAGGGAGGCAATGAGGTGTACTGGAAGGGGCAGAGGATTTGGCATCACAAAGTCTTGCGGATTTTTTTCCAGCTGCTCAACTGACCGTGATTGTGGGTGAGTCTTCCAGACTTGGTTTCCTCATAAGTAAAAGGGCAATAAACACACTAGCCATTTGTATCTCACCGAGTTGCTCAGAGGCGCAAACAAGACAAAACCCCTGAAAAAGCTTTGTAATAGGAAGGAACTACATGCATGTCAGCTGTTAGCATCTGTAACTAGAACGGGAGCTTCCTGAGAACCACTTCTTCCTCAAACTTGTGCTCCCAGGGCACAGACACAATACATAACACATAGAAGCCCTTGAATAAATACCACGCAAACCTGTCCATCAGCTCGTTCAAGGAAGCTGGCTATAATCATGACAAGCATGAAAGCAGTGAGTAACTATAATCATCTTCCCAGCAAACTTTCAATGCGCTTTTGGACAATAGAAATGGTGTTGATGTTTTGGGAGAGACACAGATAGCTAAAATAGGCTTAGACATATTCTGAGAAAGCAAAAGTTCCCGTGGTTCTCTGTGAATCCAGGAAACCGGGATTTTCATGTTTAGAGTTCATGTTACATTATGAGTAATGGTGGAAGGCTGGACTGAAATTTGGGGGCCGGAGCCCACTGATAAAGCCTGTTTATGGTTCACTGCTGATAAGAGGATGCATTTCCAGCCCATGTTGGGCATACAAGGACATGGGCTTTTTGCCTTCTGGAAGCATGCGGGTAGCTTCACATACCCATTGTCCCTGTAATCATTAATGCTCACAGCTCAACCTGAGCCAACCCCGATGTATCAGCTAAGGAGGGAAAAAGCCAGGTTAGAATCTGGAAGGAGAAGGGAATTCGGAGAAGGGGAGATACCAGCTTGGAAAGGTTCATGTCTCTCAGTCCTCTCATGACAGTGCTTAGCTCACTGTCTTCTGGTCTGGCTCTTTTTTGAGCTCCAAGTGTCCTCAAAACAGATAGAATATTTCTCAACCCAAAGTCATAATGAACCTAAAATGGGGAGAAAAAAAAAGGTTGTTTCATTGAACAATCCTAAATGTAGACTCACACCATATACACACAGGTAGATATTCTGATATGTACACAGTGCTGTTCCGAGGGGCTGAGCTGCAAAGTGCTATTAGCTCCAGTCCCTCACCTTTCCTTTGATTGCAAAATGACCATTCCATTGGGAAGTTCACGCTTTATTTTTTTAAAGATTTTATTTATTTATTTAAGAGAGAGAGAGAGAGAGCAAGGACTAGCAGGGGGAAGAGCAGAGGGAGTGGGAGAGGGAGAAGCAGACTCCCTGCTGAGCAGAAAGCCCGACAAGGGGCTCTATCCCAGGATCCCTGGATCATGACCTGAGCTGAAGGCAGATGCTAACCATCTGAGCCACCCAGGGGCCCCATGGGAAGTTCATACTTTAAATATACTTTGAGAATAACACAGTGTGATACAGCCCATACAGCAGATTTAAATGAGTAACCAACAGGTTACACACTCTGTGATTCCATTTCCGTAACATTCTTGGAATAACAGAATTATAGAGAAGGAGGAGAGATAGGGGTTGCAAAGGGTTAGGGGATTTGGAAGAGAGATGGGTGTGGCTATGTAGGGGTTGCATGAGGAAACCCTGCAGTGATAGAACAGTGCTGTATGTTGATTGTGGTGGAGGTTACATGAATCTGCATATGTGACATAACTACATAGTACTACACACACACAAACACACACACGAAGTGCGTGTATAGCTGGCAAGTTCTTAATAAACTCTGTGAATTGTACCGATGTGGGTTTTCTGGTTTTGTTATTTGTTATTGTACTATAGTTACAAAATGTCAACATTGGGGTGCCTGGGTGGCTAAGTTGGTTAAGCGTCTGCCTTCGGCTCAGGTCATGATCTCAGGGTCCTGGGATCCAGTCCCACGTGGGGCTCCCCACTCAGTGGGGAGTCTACTTCTCCCTCTCCCTCTGCCCCTCCCACTTGTTTTCTCTCTCTCTCATTCAAATAAATAAATAAAATCTTAAAAAAAAAAAAGTCAGCATTGCAGGAAACATGGTACAGGACCTCCTGTATATTTCTTTGCAACTTCATTGAGACTCCATAATAATTTCAAACTAAAAAAAGGTTTTAAAAATACATTATATTTATTATAAATATATTTTACAATTATAAATATATTTTTATTTAAAATTATATATTTAGAATTATAAATATCTTTTAGAAAAGAGTTGAGATTTTTTTTAAACTCACTGATTAACATTTATCAAAGTAAAATTGCCAAGTAAAAAATCAAGTTCTACAGCTGGGGGATAAATAGATTTACAAAGTTACCTGTTTGGTAAGTTGCTCTTCACAGAGTTTATAAAGAACATAAAACTTTTGAGCCAAGATAACATTTTCAAGAAAACCACAGCTTGCAAGTTTAACTCGCATAATGATCTGAAAATTAAGATTGTGATATTTTTTTCAATAACGTTAGTGAAAAACAAGTAAAGAACATAAATTATATTATGTTTTTAAATCCTGGTGCCTACCTGTCTATCAGGAACCATCATAGCAACAGTTCTAAACTGAATTTTTAAGTTTTCTGGTAGTTCCTGGCGCCCAGCATATCCAGGGTTCTAAAAATTAAAATTGATTTAAATTAGTGATATAATTTTCATTTCATGAATACAAATACATTCAAATTCCCAGTTCATATTCTAAGGTGGTATTGAAAAACATTAGATTCATAAAACATCCCTCCTTTCTCAAAAATATGTATTGGACCATCCATATTTTTTAAGGTCATATCACTCCCTCCTACATATTTCCATTTTCATTATACTAACAAAGTGATACACACACACACATACACCGCACTTTTTGCAGCAAAAATTAAGCATCCATGTATCTGTTGGTTAGATAATAGAAAAGAAAAGAAAAGAAAGATGCATAAATACCAGGATCATTATGGTCTAAAATAGGTTATTGAAAGAGGAAGAAAATTCAGGATTTTATACTGATCGTTACTTAGGTAATTCTTTGTTTTATCTTTTCCATTATTCTCTGCAGTCAGAATGATAGACTTCTCTGGCTGACCATTAAAAAAAAAAACCCCACAGGGGTGAGGGGAAATAAAGACGGGAATGATGAGAAAAATAGTAAAAAGGACAAAAGTAGAAGTGGAAAGGAAGCTAAGGACTCACAAGTAGCAATAGGTTGAGGATGGTCAAGACCCAAAAGCTCCAAGGGAGAGATGAGGGTTTCAAAGACTAGTAAGGCAAAGAGGGGTCAGTTATTTTTGGAAACTTTCAGTCCCTGAGCATTTCTTGGGCACTGTCCACAGGCCAGATACCTTGCTTAGTGCTGGGAATACAGAGGTGGCTAGTTGCCCTTCATTGCTCCTTCTTTTCTCTTTTCTCAGTCACAGGACCCCAGTTGCAAACTGGGTGTATCACCACCCAGATTAAAAACTACACTTCCCAGCCTGCCTTGCAGCTGGTATGATTAAATTTGACACCATGAGATGCAAAGGAGCACACAGTGTCTTTGATGCTTGTTTGAAGAGAGTTGATTCAATCAATTGGCTGCAGCAAAACAGATGCTTCTACAGCATGTTGGGTCTTAAGGTAAATTGAAGATGGAAATCATGATGGTGTAGAAACACAGGAGGATCGTAAGAGAAGAAATCTTTATGTATTAAGACACTATTTTTCATGTCTCAGTTATTTACAGCCTAATGCAATATCTAATTGATATTTCCAATATTATTCTTAATCCAAGGAGACTGTTATTCTTTTAAATTGTTCTAAACCACAGTATCACACAATAAATTCATTCATCACATTTCCTGAGTTATAACTGATCACTTCTGGATTATTATTATTTACCCCCAACTGTTTTGCTTAGGTTTGCTTACAAATAAAGCTTTTCAGAAAACTTCCTGATTTTGCTTTCTATAATTTATCTTTGTCCACTGAGACACATAAAATTCAGATTATGTTGTGATATCTTGCATCATAGAGATTTAACTATATAGAGAATATATAAAAACATGTGGCATGAGAGAGAGATAAATCTTTGAGGTTTTAAGTCACTGAGATTTGGGGATTGTTACTGTATCTAGCCTATTGGATACAATATGGAAAACATTTAGCCCCCCACCTTACACATAACAAGTACTCACTAAACAGTCCCTAGTATTATCATTAACCTATTACTATTTTATCTTCTCTCTAGGCTATTTTTACTACTCAAAAACATCATATGATAAGAGAGAATCACTCATGACCTCTGCATGTCTATCTTTTACTAACTAATATATGCTTTGTTTTATTTAAGTCTATAGCAATTAAACCAATCACATTGCATTTAAAGACCAAGTTCTCACCATTGTTAGGAAGATTCCAAATTCTGGATTCAAATCAACACAATCACCATCAGAAAAAATGAACTGTTTTTTTCTCTCTTTTCTTGCTGTCAAAACAATATAAATCTGTTGGGCTGCCACCGATAATACAGGCAATTCAATTCTGTTAAACTCATCAAAACAGCCCCAAGAACCAGACTGTGCAAGACCTGGCAGGAAAAACAGTTAATTTGAAAAGTTTTACTTTGTAATATACCTGCTACCAAGAAGAAGAATCACTTCTCTAAAGTGCTCTCAAACAATTATATATTGAAATACAGCTTATATAAAGTGTCAAATCTGGCTGTTTGTAAAGACATATCTAATTCCAGTGACATCAAGAGGTTTAAGTATTTGTACATCATCCTGGAAATAATGAAAATAGTGCACTGCCAAAATCAAAGTATAGACACGTCATTACGCCCAGTGATGCCAGACGATGATAAATTTTGTTTCAGTTTGGAAGCACTGCTTCCAGTGGGAATGGGGGCTGAAAGAGCCATAATGGTTGGGGAGACTGACATAATGAAACCCACAAACATAGGTTGCTAATGCCTTTCCAAATTTCTGGCATGGCTTTTCTCTCTTTCGTATCCACCAATGAACAGAAGTTTTTAATTGAGGGAAAGCCATGTAACAATCTTTACTTTATGGCTTGTGATTTTTGTATTAAAAATCCCTTTCTCTGAGAACAAAGATATTTTCATTTATTACCTTCTAAAAACTGTATGGTTTTGCCCACCACATTTAGGTGTTTAATCCCCAGAACTGATTTTTATATATGGTGTAGGCATCCAATTTTTATGTCTGTAGGGATCCAATTTCCGTTGTTAAATATTAATCATCTCTTGTCCCAGAACGATTTATAGTAAAGTCTATCTCTTCATCACTGATTTACAATACCATCTTTGCCATATGTCAGATGTCCTTGGCCCATTTTTGCATTCTCTATTATATTCCACTGGTCCATTTATCAATCCCCGTACCAATATCACCGTCTCTAAATTCTGTTCTAAATGATATCTTTCATTTCAATGGGATTTAATTCAGAAAGGGAAGCCACATGTGTCATGGGTTTGCTATCTTGATCTTATCCCCTCCACCACTGTTTCAGGCAATAATAAATTGATTTCATTTTCACAATCCAATACACATTCAATTCATGGACTAAAATGCCAGCAATAGCACTGAACCATATGAAATTGATGACATCTAGCCATTTTGACCCAGAAAAATGGCAATATCATATGCACCAACCTATACACATTTTAGTGATGTGGAATAATATCCCTTTAGGTTAATATCAGAAAATAATGTTAAAGAGCAATAAAAATACATTCACCAACAATGATTTCACAGTGTTTGACACTTGCCTTTAAAAATCCGTCCTAGCCCTCGGAAATCCATTTGATCTGAGCAGTTAAACACGACCACGTATTTCCCCAAACATCTTCCCATGTCTTTCGTAGTTTCTGTTTTGCCAGTGCCCGCAGGTCCTGCTGGAGCACCTCCCATGTTCATTCCCAAAGCCTGCGCTAAAGTGATATAGCATCTGCAAATGGGAATCAGAGAAAGAACCAGGAGTGTGGGAGAACACATTACTGCCCCAAAGCACAAGCCAGAGTCGGATGTGACTGGAATGGGCCTGTTTATTTGAGAATTTGAGCCGCCCATGTAAAAGAGGCTAGAGTACTTGATATTCACTAGACGTAGTACAGTGATTGCAAACATTTCTTGGGACAAGCTTTCTAAACTCCTCAACCCTGACTTAAAACCTTCAGGCCTTCCTTGAGCTGTGGTCAGGATAAGTCATAAGTCAGGGAACCATATAAGCTGGGGTATACTGGCAGATGAGGAACAACTGGCCCTCCAGGAAAAATAAATAAATAAATCTGATTTTCATGTTTGCCAATTGCAGTGGTATGAATACTTCCACTAGGGCTCATGACAAGCTACTGACGTGATATCACAAAAGTGGGAAGAGATGCATACAGTTGACTCTCAAAAGCTGGTATAAGAGTGCCTGGGTGGCTCAGTTAGTTAAGCATCTGCCTTCGGCTCAGGTTATGATCCCAGGGTCCTGGGATCGAGTCCCATGTCAGGCTCCCTGCTCAGTGGGGAGTCTGCTTCTCCCTCTGACCCTACCCCTCTCATGCTCTCTCTTTCTCTCATTCTCTCTCTCCCAAATAAATAAATAAAATATTAAAAAAAAAAAAGCTGGTACGAGTCAACTCCAGGACACCATTGCAAATAAATCATTTTACTATGAAATTTTTCACTCATTGAGGTAAGTATAAAGAATAATATAATCAATCTTCTTGTATCCATGATCCAGCTTAAGTGATATGTGTTTCAGATCTAAGTAAAACTTAGTGAAGCTTCCTGAGACGTGAAGCTTTATATGCAAACTTCAGTGGAGGAGGAAACTCATGGACACGTTTATGCTACAGTGGTGCTGGGCATACAGAAGGAGGCTGGATGAATCAAGAGACTAAAGACATAATACCTGCAGGCAGCCCTATTTAAAGGAACAGCAGAATTAATCATTCTATGACCCAGTTTAAGTTAAGTCTACAAGTACTTATTGAGCATCTTCTATGTACAGCATATTGAACTAGGTGCTGTGGGATAGGTAGAGATGAAAAAGGCCCAGTTCTCTCTGATGTCACATACTGGAAAGAACTGTGAGGAGATTGGCCATTGCCTGTTTATTCATACCGGGCCAAGAAACTTGACTTTAGGTATCCATTTCTACATTTGGAAAACCAGGAGACTAAATTCGATCATCTCCAAGGTCCCTTCCTTCTTTGCAATTCTAACGACTTCCCTTTTTGGTGCCAGAGATATTTTTCATCTTGCAATCTAAAATTCATTACTTTATTACTCACAATGTTCAAGCTTGCTTTCATTCTTTTATCTTTTTCTGCTTCACAAAAATGTAATGCAGGTGTACGTTTAAGTAATAACCTTGGTTATTTCATTGTTAGACTGACTTTGATGAGCTAGCATAGACCTAACACAAAAGCAAGATGCTTTTGTTAATATTTTGTTAATATTTCAAATGCAATTTGAAAGCAATGTTAAGCACATCGTTTAATTACAAAGTGGAATAACAAAAACTGAGTGTCCTACCTATCTGTTAATGGAGTGATGACAAGACGGTCAGTGCATCCCAGAAATTCATTCTGGTAAATAAAATCCACATCTGTAATAGACACCACAGTTTGATCCAAATCTTCCTTAAAATAAAATCTACTCTGTTTTAGCCATTCAAAGTCAGTAACTGATTTGATATGCATTTTTACCTTAAAAACATGAAATACAAAGAGATTACATACTGAATTGCAATAGCATAAAACACAAGCATATGGGCAGTTTTTATTCACTCCTTTGTGAACTGATTCTCATTTATTTAACATAATATTTCTTGGGTCCCTCCTTGGGCCTGACACTGTGCTGCGTGAACACAGACAGGCATTGTTCCTGACTTCTAAAGCTGACAAAAGAAGATAAAAGACAAACAGATAAGCAAGGAATTGCAAAAACAGTATGAAAAGAAATTCAGGGTTCATGGAAATATGTAGCAAGAGGATCCTAAGGTAGTCTAGGGGGCCTGAAAGGGATACTTGGAGAAAGAAATATTCAAACTAAAACCTGAAAAAAATAGTAGGAATTACCCAGGGAAACAAAACCAAAAGAAAAAAACAAGTAAGTTCTTTAAAAGGGTAAAATGTCCTAGGCAAAGACCCAGAAGATCTGGCTGCATGTTCAAGAAACTGAAAGAAGTTCAGTACAGCTAAGGCATCTGGGACTCGATGGAAAGATGAGAGTTGAGGCTTCACAGGACATGGAAACGGAGGTGAGCAGTATTCTCACAGCAAACGGAAGCCACGGAAGGGATTAGCAGGGAGTGCGCAGTCAGTTACGCACACGTGCCTTCCTATACCAGCACTGTGGCCAAACCCACCAACCTGCCGGGTCATTGGCATACACCTATGGGCAAGTGGTCCTGGGCTCCCACAGCTGTGCGTGCCAGAGAGAGACACCAGGGAAGCACATTTAGGAACAACATCCCGCCACAACCACATTCTCAGGCGCTTCATGATTTTCCCTGGGCAAACTTGGAGAAAACTCGGTCCTGCCCACTTAGGGCAATCATCACAGGAAAGTGGTAAATGATCCCTATCGCTGCTGTTAAACTCGGTCCCACTTCCAGGTCGTTCAGCTGGCCTCTGACAACCCTGCCATGTTCAGGCCTCCATCTAATCAAGTCTCCATGCTGTGTACAGGCTTGCTTTTTGTCAGCATCATTTGTTTACGATCTTGCTTCCCCCTGAAGTTAGGAATTCTGGCTTCTGGGCTAAAGCACAGTTTGTATTCATCACTTTAAGGGGCAACTTTCAGGTAACATGATCCAGTGTCTCCCCCAGGCACTCTCTCTCCCACACAGGACCTGCAGCCATGGAAATGCTGTCAACTGGCTCCTCTCAACAATCCTTTAAGATGGTGAGGAAGAGACGGAAGATGAAGAAAAAAGAATAGCTAATACTGATTGAGCTCTTACCGTGTATCAGGCTGTTCTAAGCATCATACATGGAAAAATAAAATGCAAATATGCCAGCCGTGAGATCTCATTTTAGTTGGGATGCAGAGAGACCATGAGTTCAATAGTAATTAAGACAAAAAGAATACAGTTATGTGGTTTTAACTGTGTATCAGTTTTTCTTTTTAAAAATCCACTCTGTATATAAAAGTAAAGCTTTGCTCAGCACTTAAATCTAAAAGAAATTTCTTCCATGGGATTTCAGCTTCGAGAGTCAGCGAGAGAGGGGCGCCTGGGTGGCTTCGTTGACTGGGCATCTGCCTTGGGCTCAGGTCATGATCCCAGAGTCCTGGGATCGAGCTCTGCTTCCAGCTCCTTGCTCAGCAGGGAGCCTGCTTCTCCCTCTGCCTGCCACTCCCCCTGCTTGTACTCTCTCTCTCTCTGTCAAATAAATCAATAAAATCTTAAAAAAAAAAAAAAGAGTCAGCAAGAAATGTTAGCCCCATGCTCTTCGCAGATATAGTAATGGATTCCACAGGAGTTTCTTGAGGTGGACTTCAAAGAAAGCCAAAGTATGACAGTAACTGCAATTTAGTGAAAGCAGCTCTCTAGATGGTAAGGAACCATGGTCTGAGTATGCAGCTCTCTGGTGGCTGGCTTGATCAGAAGATCCAGAGATAACACCACACACAAAAATAGACTCCAAATGGTTGAAAGACCTAAACGTGAGACAGGAGTCCATCAAAATCCTAAAGAAGAACACAGGCAGCAACCTCTTCGACCTCAGCCGCAGCAACTTCTTCCTAGAAACATCGCCAAAGGCAAGGGAAACCAGGGCAAAAATG